CGTAACGTAAGGTAACGTAACGTAACGTACCGCTTTCATTAGGTTTTAAAACTAATTTCTGCAATCTCTTTGGACTCTGCTGTTTGATATATTGCCAAGCCAACCTGATCCAAGTGGGTTAGAGTTTATTCACTGACTTCGTGGAACAAAACTGCATAAGTGATCTTGTTACCAGGGGACGAGCAACTAGGCTGTTTACAGCCTCTCACTTCTTCAACGCACACGAAAGAAACAGCGAGCGAGAAGGGACGTGGAGTCGAGCGAAGCGAGCCAAAGAATGGGTCCCCACCCTACCCCGTCAAGTCTTCTGTTTTGCGCTGGTACGCATCCAGTTCTCACGCGATTCCATCTGTACATTCAGTGATCGAATAAAAATACGGGAAAATAGAGGGCTATGAACAGTCTAACGAACAACTTGCATAGATTATTAATACATGGTACACTTTTTTACATAGGAAGGAGGATGTAGCGTTCCCATTGGAGTAACGTCTAGCCTGGATGGCAATCAGGTGTGTCATGCAGTTATTAAGTTAAAGTTTACTTTTTAATGAAGCGCAGGGCCTGGTCTCAATTTAATGCGGTAGACAAAGTGTTTTGCTCTCCTACCTATCGTTGAATGGGATGCTAGTCTACACAGACAGTTCATTTTACTTGGCTGACGAAATATTATAATTACCGGTAATATTCCCTTGGAAATATCCATTTAGAAGCAAGTCGGGAAAACAAGAGACAGGACTGGGGACGAAAGTTGTCTCCCCAGGCCCCTTCCCAGTTCTTTGCTTCTCCTTCCCGGAATTAACGTAAGCTCTGTTCGTCAGCCTCCTTTTTTGGAGATGAGTTGCTAGAGACGAGGACTGGGGTGAGCTTTCTTTTTTCTTTTTTAGTTAACCATTACAGGTGCTGTGTTTAGCTTGGACGGAAAAGAGTGCCTCAAGGCCACTGTATCTGGAACCCTTCCGGAGCCCGTTGTCCAAGGTGGTAGCTGCCCTCATGCCGTGCTAACCCAGTCCAGCATTTATGTCCCAGATGGATTGCGTGACTCTCTTGTCGCAGCTGAGAAATTAGGAGAGCAGTTAGCGCGAGCTTTGATCGCCAAAGGAGCCGTTGAAGTGCTGCGTAAAGCTAGAGAAGAAAAGGATCTCGCACAGCAGTGAAGAAATCCTGCTTAAACTGACAATGCTTGTTAGGATACCTAAATCTTAAAATTCCAGCGAGTCTGCAAGACACTTTTGCTCGTCACGCAATCTCTCCTTGCGTTGGTAACGAGCCAAACATCTAATTTTTCCCTACAATATCGAATGCACAATCCGTCACACAGGTAATGAGATTCAATAAAATCCTCCACCTGGTCACAGAGGCCCGTCTTGTCATTTCTGCTCTTTTGACAGTGAGTTGACCCTGCGACATTTGGAAAATGTGGGCCTTGAACACAGTATACTGCTTGTGGTCGGCTCTTTCTCTTGGGAGTCCAGCGAACGTTAATCCTTACTCACGCGAAGGAAAAAAAAAGGCGCTATTGGGCCTCCTCGTCCTGTACCCAGTCTATTAACAATTCGGGGTGCGCAAGCTTTTTATAACAATTATTTCTGGCATAATTAAAAAAAGTTTCATGTTAATATATAGCTGTGCAGCGCTTTAATTGAATCAATGGGCCGCGGAGCAACTCGTGTACTCAACACGAACCTGCAGTGTTCGTTGATCAGCGGTTCAATGCATGGATCTTCGTGGCTTCACGTAAGATTTTGTTTGAAGACATAAGTAAGTTATTGCAGTGATAAAATTACCGACATAGGCCACGTCATCGAGCGAGTGAATTTCCGAATGTTGCTGTGGTCGTAAACAACATTTGTTTATTATCATTAAAGGCTAGTATATTTCCTACCTACAACTTACACCTAAAATCGTCGATATTCAAAAATCGTCAAATATATTTTTTTTATGAAAATTCAATTAAATTAGAAGATCGTCTACCTGTAATGATCACAAGTTAAATTAATAATTTGTGGCACGTCAAACTTGTTCACCCCTAACATGACTGAAAATTTTCAGTTTAACAATTGTGTCATTTCAATTTTGAGATGCATAACTAGTTGTAATAGTCTTACTCAAAAATATATTAACTTATCTGACGTCGAATTTACTGCAATAATAGCATTGCGTAATGAAGAAATTCATATAAAAATATAATCAGTTATTGACGCCCTGTCCACACCACGCCGGGGGAATTTGATAACGGAGGCATCACTCTGAAAACGCATCAAATGTTTGCCGTAGAAAGTACGCCGCAGAAATTTGAAAACGGAACAATCATCGGTCGTGTTGGAATTGTGTTTGCAGAAACCTCGGGTAGGGAAATCACCTGATTCTCGAGACACCATCGTTTTCGAAAAGCTCCGTTTTCAAAATGTTGTCGGTCCGCACGAAAACGAAAAGCCGGCGTTTTCAAATTCCTCGGGTTGAAGAGCGCTTTCGAAAAGTTCCGTTTTCCTGATGGATCAGTGTGGACCTTAGGTCTAACCGTAGAAACAAATTTCTTCGGCGTACTAGTGTAGACGGGGTCTAAAAAAGCTATCAATAAGTCAACAGCCAGTGCGCGAAGTAAGTTATAAACACAAGTTTTTTTCTTCTCTAGAAACGGCTGTCTTAACTGACATAATCTGTGCTTGTTATCACTGTCACACGCGCAGCGACAGCAGTTACTAACCTGAACATCTCGCATAAAAATGTGACAATCGATAATTATGACCCCTAAAAAAANGGACCTTAGGTCTAACCGTAGAAACAAATTTCTTCGGCGTACTAGTGTAGACGGGGTCTAAAAAAGCTATCAATAAGTCAACAGCCAGTGCGTGAAGTAAGTTATCAACACAATAAGTTTTTTTCTTCCCCAGAAACGGCTGCCTACAACTGACATAATCTGTGCTTGTTGTTATCACTGTCACACACACAGCGACAGCAGTTACCAACCTGAACATCTCGCATAAAAATGTGATAATCGATAATTATGACCCCTAAAAAAAGTTCCATTGAGCTCTAAATAGGCTCAATTAACTATTAACTCTATTGTCTGTGGAGGTGTTATACTGAACAGCTGCTCAATGACTGTTTACGATTGGTTAACAAAGCTCGGACGTTCACGTGCAACAAGTTTTAACCAATCATAGCAAAGAAATGTCTTTCACTAATCAGGTGCAAACGTTAGACAGAGTACGTGTCGGCTTTGCACGAATTTTCCCGCGCTTGCCACACGTGCTGGCCAAAACTCGCCATGTGATTGGCTTATCAAATACTTATTCCCGTTCCTCGTGATTCGTTCTGTGAAGAAGTCAAAACTGTATTTTACATCTTCCTTTGCTTGTACAACAATCATTAACAGGTTGCGCTAAAACGGCTTTGTTGCTTTCCAAATTAAATGGCTACTTTTAAGTTTGATGGGGACGAGAACGTTAATTAATGGTATAATACCAGATGTTAGCAGCGCTTCAGACTCCAATGCCCGACAGAAATTCGGGAGTAAAACGAAATGGGTGACAAAACTAGAAGAAAGTCTTCTCACCCGTTTCGGCTTTCAATGAAATTATCTTCTATTGATTCTCCGACTATAAATGTGTGTGACTCTGTTACGGGACAGCTCGCTATTAGCGCCTTTTCTGCAGCTGATCTGGAGTGCTTTACAACAGAGCGGTATAAACGCTAGTTTCGAGCTTTAATTTATAATAGTTCTAAAATCTGACCCATGGTCAAAGTTCCTCTTTCTTGCTCGTCTCTTCTTGTTTTCCATCTGGAGCTGTTTCCGTTGAATTCGCCGGCTCTTTCAGCTCAACTTTTCCCGCCAGAATGTCTTCAACCCACTGCTGAAGATGGCGTAGTTTAGTTTCCTTGCCTTTCTTCTCGAACCAAGAACTCTTGCTCTGGTTAAAAAAAGATCGAGTTTGGTAACCCAACATTGTCTCTTGCTTTTTATTTTTTTTATTTTATTTTACATATACACGTATATTACAGCTACACCTCCCATATGACTTTCAGCCATAACCTCCTGAGGATATTGGGCCGTAAATCTCCCATATGTGATCACTGAAAAATTTTGCTGGGTCCAAAAATTACCAAGTTCTACAGAATTCTTCCCTTTAAAGAAGAATTAAGAAAATTACTTGACTTGGAATGTCGGTTTTTCTCTCTCACTAAAAACATGGTAGGATTCCCAGCAACATAGCAGAAACAAAAACAAAATTGAAAGGTACTTTTTTTTACAGGATTTAATTTCTAAATGAAATAATAATAATAATAATAATAATAATATTATTATTATTATTATTATTTTAAATTTGTTTGTGTTTACGGGCAGTACTGCTACTTAACGCGGATAATTCAAAAGGGTTTGATTTCACGCTTGGCATTTTTAGCTCTCTCGCTGTTATTCAAAAATTAAGCGAACAGTAATTTAGGATACATAATCTAAAAGCCTCTGCGCAAAATCGGCGCTCTCGCGGAGCGCGAGCACGAGCGCGAGCACGAGCGCGAAGCTCGCACTCGTGGTCGCGCTCGGCGCTCGTGTATCGCGTTTT